TGGAACAGGGTTTAGGGTTTCGGGTGTCTTGTTCGAATCCATGCGATCGTCAGGCATGGATGCAGGAGTTTGTCAAAACTACACTTGTGCATACTCCAAACTAGGGAGCCCGGCAGCTCTATGTAATCCCCATATCTCCCTAGGTCCATCAAGGCCCTCTTTTCTCAAAACCTCAAAATCTAAACCCTACAGATCTTTATAACCCCACATAAAGCGGGTCCTTGACAGCCTACTCTACGAAGTCTTACGAAGTGTCCATGAGGTTCCTTCCAGGATCGCACTGCTGAATTCGAGCGTGCGAGGGGTAAAGGTCGCCGCCCCTTGGTTGCGGAAAATGTGCCACAAGGTGCATAAAAAAGGGTTTGTAGGGGTCATAGTATCTGCAGGAGGTCTTAGGGTTGCGAGATGGGGATCAGGGTTTAGGATTTCCAGAATTCAGCGGTCCCTTCTTGAGAGTACTTAGACTCGAGATTATATGTGGGTATATTAGGGTGACCCATGTCTTTGGAAAGCGCAAATTACGCCGCAATTACCAGAGCCTTCGTCACGCTCCTTTTACGGGGCATGTTCGGAGGGGGGGTCACATCGCTCTCATGGGATTTCTTACTGGGCACTACTCTTATCAGTTGAGCCTGCTTGCAGTTGGCAACTTGCTTTTGGGTCCAGGCTCTGGCTGCCCAATCCGGCAGCATGCCAGCCGCACCTGCAGCGCAGGATGCATCCCTGCCAGTTCCAGCAGCCAACGCCAGCGGCGCAGTACCGGCTGCTCCGCAACCCGCCGCCACGGTTACAGCAGCTCCGGCCACATCGGTGACTGCAGCGCCTCAGCAACTCAACGGGACAGCAGGACTGTCCCAAGGCAGTGCCCCATTGTTGCACGTCCGTGGCACACAAGTCGCTGCTGAGCCAAAGTCCAGGTTGGCTACCGATCGCAGCTTACACTTGCCAGGCACTGCAGTAGAGGCTCCTCCAGCACAAGCTCCTCCCACTCAAGCGCCGCAAGCACCAGTACAAACACCCGGTGCTGGCCTGACAACCAATAGGGCGGGCAGTCCACAGGCTGCGCCTGTGCAAGCCGCAGCACTGGCGGATCCGCCAGCTCCCGCGGTACCAAGTGCTCAGCCTGCGCAGCTTCGCATGCCAGCCCGAGCAGCACCGTCAGCAGCACCAGCAGCAACAGCAGCAACACCACCAGCCCCACCAGCACCAGCATTGGGACATCAGGCTGTGGAGGATGCAGCTGCCGCCACCCCCACTGTAAAGATCCAGGAGAATTTGGGCCGCAATCTGATTTCCTCACCGCAGTCAGTCACGAGCATGACGAATCATGCTGTAGCAAACTCTTGTGTGTCTAGGCTGGCAGAGTCCTCGGCGTTTAGCACAATGCCTCCGCTTCCAGCCGCCGCCGCTGTGGGAGCATCCACGGCATTCCCGGCGCAGCCACCATTGAAGACTGCAGCGAGCGTGCAAAGTGGTGCCCAAAGTTGCAGCTTAGAGCTCCTGACATCTACCTTGTGGCATTGCGTAAGCAAAGTGACGTTCGCCCGGGTAAAATTGAGGGCTTAGCAAAACCCATAACTCGCATAGCAAGCTTTTCATTCCGCTTCTCGAGGTTGCAGCACGTGCGTCTGTGTTCAGGGGTAGCAACTGGTAGAAGATGCGGTTTGTATGCTATTTGCCCTCAACGTATCAAAAGCTCAAGGCATAGTAGAGGAAGAGGAAGGCTGCAACTGTTCAGGTGCCGGGCCTAAACAGCGGAATCCAACTGCTGTCGGGCTCTCAGAGAAGGGCCTTCGCGTTGTGGCTTGTAGCTTACGGCTGACTATGTGCGCAGCTTAGAGTTCAGGGTGATGGTCTCAAGTTGTGGGTTCATGAAGGGCTCCGAGGGTGGGATTTGGTGGACCTGAACCCTAAACC